AAAAAAAAAAAACTAAACAAACAATGAATGAGAGGAGAAAAAAACAGGGTGACATGGTAGAGATTGTAACTGCTAGGAAAGGAGGACTCCTGTGGGAGGACCTCTTTGAGACTTGTCCAGTGAGGACTCAGTCATGCAGTCATCTGGGGAAGAGTGTTCCACGCAGAGGCAACAGCCTATGCAAAGGCCCTGGTGWGCGCATGACCTTGGATTTAAGAAACAAGGAAACCGGTGTGACTTAAGCAAGGGAGTGGGAAGCAGARTGTAGGACATGAGGACAGAGGGAAGCAGGAGCCAGAGCATGAAGGGCTTTGATAAGGGGTTTAGAATATTCTCGGCCAATAAATGTTACCTCTCTGAGCCTCAGTTCCCTTGTCTACAAAATAAGGTTGTTTGGACATGGTGGTGCACACCTGTAATTCCAGCAACCCATGAGGCTGAGGCAGGAGAATTGCAAGTTCAAAGCCAAAATAAGCAACTTAGGGGGGCCCTAAACAACTTAGCGAGAYCCTATCTCAACATAAAAAGGTCTTGGGATGTGGCTCAGTGGTTAAGTGTCCCTGAGTTCAATCCCCAGCACCAAATACATAAATAAATAAATAAAATGAGGCTATTAATAGTACCAACTTGTTATGTACTATTTCCTTTTGAGGTTTAATGAGATCGTTAAGTATACACGCTTAGCACTGGACTTGGCATTCCAAAGGTACTTGGAAAGCAGGACTGAGGATTATTCATGATAAGGAGGTGGGGGAGGAGGAAGTGATTGGTTCAGATCCTTCCTGTCCTAGCAGGGTCTGAGCTGTGGGTAAGGCATCTGACGCTGCCCCTTTGCCCCATCAGGTTACCCAGGTTTCCAAGCCACAACCTATGCCAGTCGGAGTTATACAGGCCTTGCCCCTGGCTACACCTACCAGTTCCCCGGTAAGTCCTGCTTGGTGTCCCTCTATGGCCAGCATGTCCCCAGTTCCCAGGCAGTCTCACTCCTCAGGGTGGTGTCTGGGGTGCATGGCTGGGGGTCTGCCTGCTGGAGGCTTGGAAGGAAGGGCATGTCTGATGAAGGAGGGCCTTTCCCCTGACCTTTCCCCAAAAGCTGGGGACAAAGGCTCCCGGTGTGGCCCCTGCATGGTACTGTTCTCTCCCAGGCCCTTCTCTGCCTGCTTCCTACCTTCTGTCCTCCCCTCCCAAYTCTGGGGTTGCCACTTCTACCAAAGAAGACACCAGATTGGTAGTAGGAGCACCCTCCCTAAGGGTCATTGTGAATTGCGACTTCACGGACATATTACAATGACCAGGTGCTATGCTGAGCCCTTTCAAGGTCACACAAGCCCTCTTGAGACTCTAAATGCCAAGAAACAAAAGCATTATAATCACCTTCAACATAGACTAGACCTTAAAAAAGTATCAGGAAGCCCAACAAAGTTCTGGACTGTTCCATGATGAGTATTCAATKTGTTTTCTCTGAAATATTAAATATCAGGTTTTTTTTAAAAAAAAATATTTTGCTTTAGTTGTAGTTGGATACAAAATAATTTTATTTTTATGTGGTGCTGAGGATCGAACCCAGCACCCCGCAAGTGCTAAACGAGCAGTCTACCACTGGGCCAAACCCCCACCCCCTAAACATCAAATTTTTACAAGGCAACTTACTTATTTATTATTTAGTTTTGCAGTGCTGGGGATGGAACCTGAGGCAAGTGGTCTACCACTGAGCTACACCCCCAATCGGTTTTGGTCTTGTTTTTATTTGAAAGGTTCCTAAGCACTTGTATCCTCTGCCCCTTGGGTATTGTTTAACTAGGAATCCTTTATTTACATTATGTTGTCTAATCCTCCCAATAATTCCATGGGAGGGATGATTATACCCATTTTAGAGATGAGGAAACAGGTTTGGAAAGGATATGTGACCTGCTTAGATGATAACTAGGAAGTGGCAGGGCTGGGAACTGGACCAAGCTGGAGTAGGACTTACTCTATAGCCACTGTTTTTCTTTAAGGTGCCTCTGAAGCTCTCTCCTCATTAAAAGTGAGAGAGAGGGGGAGAGAGAAGATTCTGGAAGGCGTCTTTGGTTCAATCCTAAGCCTTTTTTGTTCTTTTGGTGGTGCTGGGGATTGAACCCAGGGCCCGTKCATGCTAGGCAGCACTCTGCCTCTGGGTAGATGTCCCCAGCCCCAGTCCTAAGCCTTTAAAGGAATACTCAGAGTTGTAGGGGCAGCACTGCCTGTGCCTAGGGTTCAGGTGGCAACTCCGCCTGTTCTTTCGCTCTTTCTGCTTCTCCTCTTTGTGTCTCCTTCCCCTCCCTTCCCTTCTGGGGACTTTCTTTCCCYGTCCTCAGCTCTTGGGTCCTGTGCATGGCCTGTCCCCTCACCTAGTGTCCCTGTGGGTACATTTGTCCTCCCTGGGCCATGTCTGAGGGGCCTCCCATACTTCTTCCTAAGCTGTTTTACGTTTCATTTTAGAATTCCGTGTAGAGCGGACCCCTCTCCCGAGCGCCCCAGTCCTCCCCGAGCTTACAGGTCAGTCGCTCGGATTTCGTACCTCTCCTAGGCCACATGGGGAGAAAGAGAAGGGCCCAGAGACCTCTGGGGAAAGCCAGCGGGACTCTTTTCTCCTGCCCACCAGTCCCCTGGCTGGGAGGACACGGCAGACTGTGCCTGGGCACTGGCCAGTCTGTGGAGCTACGTTGCCCTTAAGGGTGGGGTATAGGGCCAAGCCAAACAGATGGAGGCAACATCACTCATTCACCCATTTGGCAAATATTTACCTAGCACCTCCCGTGTGCCAGGCACCACAGAGGATCTGGGATCCAGCAGTGAATAGGCCAAGATCTCAAAAGCAGAGTGGGCCAGCGAGGAGGCCAGGGAATTCTGGGCGTGTTTGGTGGACAGGCCTGCCTTCCCTGCGAGCCTGTCCTTGGAGAAAGGGGATGCAGACCCAGCCTTTTCCAATCTCATTTTTTTAGACAAGCCAGAAATCCAATTTTTGCTTTCATATGAATTTTTTGATCATTTTTAAGGATTGACAACAATTCCAAATTATCATTTGGAATGGCCAAATGAAACCCATCCAAGGGCCAAATCTGGCCCTCAGTCTGCCCATGTGCGATTGCTGGGAAACTTGGATGGAGGTGCTTGGCYATCCGGGACCATTTCTCCAGCTGGAACCTTCATTCCAGCCAAGCAGCTCAGCTGCAGGGCTGGGGCGAGGCCGAGTTGGGGGGCTTTGTACACAGGATGGTGGGCTACAAGGGGTTTCTCTGTCCCATCTGCTTCTACCCCCACCCCACCCCTAGACTCTCCCCCAACCTGGCCGTGTGTGAGCATGGATGCTGCTTTAGATGAAACCTTCCTTCCAAGGGGTGCTCAGGGTTCCCCCAGAATGTGGGAGGGGGGAAGGGAAACATGGGGTGAAGGAAGGGGAGGGAGGAGAGCCCTGGTGGCAGAAGTCCCAGCGGCTCTACCATGAGCAGAGGGGTGTTGACAGCAATCGGGGAGGAGGGTAATTCCTTTTTAATCCAGTGAGAACTGTGCATTGAGGACCTACTATGTGCAGCATGCACTGCCAGGCCCTGGGGGCAGACAGGGACAGAACAGAGCCAGACCCTGCTCTCATAGAGCATGCCAGCTAGACAGGAAATGAAATGCCATACAAACAAGTAGTTGTTTACAGTTGTGATAAGCACTAGCTAGAGTTGGCTCTTCTCTGACTTTGCTCTGTGGTGGCCAAAAACCAGACTTCAGCACCCAGCCCCTGCCCCCATCCCTGCTCCTGTCCCTGCCCCTACAGACCAGATGTAAGCAGTGTCCTTTTAACTGATATTTTGGCAGGGRAGGAAGTAAGTTCTGGGCTCAGCAATTCTTGAGAGTCCAGGGTCTGAACTTTTCTCTTGCCTTGGAGAAAAGGGGACTTGGGTGTTTCCTTCATGTATTCAGTACATATTTATAGTGCTGGTGCTGGGCTAGGCACGGGGACACTACAGTGAATAAATCAACAAGGCCACTATTTTCTGGGTGCTGGTATTCTGGAGGTAAACGAGGGTAAGAAGTTCCTCAGGGAAGATAGAGCAGGAAGCTGTCCTGCAGGGTTAGGATTGGCCCCAGGGCTGCCTGAATGGAGGGTGACCAGGGAAGCTTCTCAAGAGGTGACTTGTGAGTGGGAAAGAGGGAGCTGTATGAAGGTGCTAGAAAGATCCCTCCAAGATGCAGGAACTACAGTCCTCCTTTTGAATCTCCCAGTCCAGTGGCTTTGCCAAGGATTTGGGAGGGCCTTATCTAAGGTCCCTATCCCTAGGTCTGTCCATTTCAAGGCCAAAGTCACCCAAACAGCCCCAAGGGGCACTTTTTGGGGTGGGAGCATGGTGGCCTAAGGCTTGCCAAGTGCAAATCCCGAAAGACAATCCTCAGCATGGGGTGGAGCTCCTTGGTGGCCACAAGGAGTGGAGATACCTCAGCCTCAGGGAGTTCCCTGCTCAAGCCAACAGGTTATCTAAGCAGAGGTCCCTTCTACTCCTTCAGCAGACAGTTATTAAATACCTGCTGTGTAGAGGGAAAGGTGGGAGGTGCYGGGGGTTGATGGATAACAAGGCAAGAGCCAGGTCCCTGTGCCTGGAGAGGGCTTGACTAAAAAGATGCTCAGAGCATTTGGGAGAAGGAGTGGTGATTTACRGGCGGGGTGGCCAGGGAGGCCCTGAGGGGTGCTCTTGGAAGAAGGGGATTGAGAAACACAGGACACACAGCAGAAGCAGCTGTGGCCTCCACCGGAGTCTGTCCTCAGCCTGACTCCATGGCGAGTTCTGGAGCCCTGATGTTGCCAGAATCGATCACACATTGGGGCTGTGGGACTGGCTTTCTGCACCCCTACCCAGTTGGTCCCTGGCTGGAAAGAGGGACATAGCCTTCTGGCCACCTCTGGGCTACATGACCTGTGTTGTGCCAAGGTGCTCAGGAGAAGGGGCATCTGTACTGAGGACACAGAGCAGCCCAGGGGCCACCCTCTGGGAGTCGTGGGTTGCTTCAATGTATCCTTTGAGTCTGGGCAGCTTGCTGGGAAGCTTTCCTCCCTCCTACCTTTATTCTACCCATCAAATCAGGGCATGGATGGTGGCCCAAAGTGGCTCTTGGTGCCTTGGCCCTGGGGATGCATTGAGATGGGGTCAGGAGGGAGAGCCTCTGCCAGAAGTTGGGGGCCTCCTTCATCCACCTGCCCCCCTCTGGCCGCACTGAGACGCTTGAACCTTCTCTTGCAGCCATTCCTCTCACTGCTTATGGACCAATGGCAGCGGCAGCAGCAGCAGCGGCTGTGGTTCGAGGGACAGGTGAGGCCTTCTGGGGTCAGGGTGTAGGGGGCAGAGAATTCTAGTGGGGAGATGAGGTGGCCATCGCTATACTTTGACAAAGGCACCAATTTATTCACTCAAGTGTTAACTGGGTACCTACCCTGTACCGGGTGTTGTGCCCACATCAGTGAGCCAGGCTGGACACTCACAGGCCTTCTGCCATGTGGGGCTTCCAGGCTACTGGGGACAAGGCTGTGATTCCAGAGGATGTTTCTGCTGCTCGGCGGGGGGGGGGGGGGGGATCAGGTGCCAGAGCAGCTCCCAGCCAGGGCTTCTGAGGAAGGCCAGGGAAGGCTTCCAGGGCAAAGGGCCTCTTGACTTGAGATTTGGAGACAAAGAGGAGGAAAAGTGTTTTTGGCCGGGGGAAGAGCACTGCAAAGGCTTGGAGGCTAGTTGCATGGGTAGTGCGGGAGTGGGGACAGGGGACAGTGGAACTTCAAGCAGCAGAATGACAGAAGTCAGATTTAGAAAATGTACTGGGCTGCGGGCTGGGGACAGGTTTGAAGGGGCTGAAGGAGGAGGCTGCGGAGTGAGCAAACAGGAAGCGATGGGGGTTGGGGTGGTGATAAATGAATGTAGAGAGATCTCCATGGGGTAGACCCATAGGACTGCTGGGATGTAGRGGTCAAGGTCAGGGTGGAGGAGGTTTGGTGGGGTGCCATGGGGCAGCAGTGGGCACCAGGGCTATCACTATCTTCTTTCTGGGTTGCCAGGCTCTCACCCTTGGACGATGGCTCCCCCTCCAGGTTCAACTCCCAGCCGCACAGGGGGCTTCCTGGGGACCACCAGCCCTGGCCCCATGGCTGAGCTCTATGGGGCGGCCAACCAGGACTCGGGGGTCAGCAGTTACATCAGTGCCGCCAGCCCCGCCCCCAGCACCGGCTTTGGCCACAGTCTTGGGGTGAGTGGTCAGGCCTGGCGGCCTCCACCTCCCTTTACCCTGCGAGACCCCAAAGTAAGGGAGGGAGAGGTGTTTGTCTTCTCTGGAAAAAGGTCAGGTGAGACATGATGGATGGGGAAAGAAAGTGTCACTAATGGGGAACAGTGGAAATTAACATTGGCRTAGTAGGCATTTAATCGTCACCTCTGCGTGTCAGCATTTGGTGGGCTCTGAGATGGGCCAGTGGATTCATACCCTCTCTTCCCGTAATGAGATCCGAGTCTAGCTCAGGCGTACCCTAGTATTAACCAGGGTGCTGGTTATATGTAAATTCCCAGGCCTGCCTTGGAGTCTCTTTGAACCAGTCTATGGTAGGGTAGAAAAAGATTTGTGCCTTACCTTGGGCTTCTGGTGAGAGAGGAAAGGAGTCCCTAAACGTTCTGTACTTTCTGCAGGATTCTAGGAGTCTAATTCTTTTCTTTTCAGGGTCCCTTGATTGCCACAGCCTTCACCAATGGGTACCACTGAAGCAGGGGACAGGTGGCAGGAGGTGAGAAGGTGGGAATAGGTATGGGATAAGGGTGGCACCAGGCATCTGATCCTGGATGATCCCATCTGGGACACAGATTCCCTTCCCTGTCATCACAGAACCATAGTCTACTAGGGAAGACAGTCCTTTATTTTAGCAGTGATGAGTGAACATAGGAAAAGCTGCTCAGCCGGGCATGTTAGTGTACTCCTGTAATCCTAGCAACTCTGGAGGCTGAGGCAAGAGGATTGCAAATTGGAGGCCAGCCTGGGCGACTTAGCAAGACACTATCTCAAATAAAAGGGACTGGGGATGTAGCTCAGTGGTAGAGTGTCCCTGAGTTCAGTTCCCAGTACGACAAAAACAAAACAAAGCAAAACAAAACAAAAATCCCAAACTGCAAAAATAACTATAATGCCTCTCAAAAGGAAAATGATGAGATAAATTAGTGTACCTACAGTGGGGTATTACACAGCTATAAAATAGGACACCCCTGGTACATGGGACTGGTGCAATCACCAGTGTCTGTCGGGATGGTGGAGCACCCTGTGAATTGGTGATATTTCATTCTTTACCTCACTTGTTCAAATATTTATTAAGCACTATTCTGGGACAGAGAGATGAGCAACTGAGATGAGGTCCTCTCTCATCCCAGACAAACGTGGAACAAATGAATGAGAGAATCCTAAATAGTGTATAGGGGATTATTTTAGGGTTTAGAGGTATCCCTGAGAAGGTGACATTTGAATAAATCCAGCCACTCCAAATCTGGGAGACAGTGCCCTCTGGACAAAACTCTTCTGGAAGAGGACCAGAGGGTGTATGTGTTCTGGGGACTGCCCCCTACCCCCACAGGCCTCTATAACCTGCCATTGTCTTCCCAGCGCCCCAGCCTGAAGCTGACWGAGGACCATGAGTGAGCCAGCGAGGGGGTGGGGACACCTCAGCCGCAGCCGCCGCCCCCTCCCCCTGCAGCGACTCGGATGCTACTGCCTGCCCCCCACTCCCTGGGCCCCCCCGGCCCCTGCCCTGCTGCCCCCCCACATCCGTCTGGCTCCCCTACTAACCTCCCCTTCTGCCCTTGCCCCTCCCCACCTGCCTCTCTCCCTGCCCGCTTTTATTTATTTTGGATTAGCCGGTTGTCCCCTACCCCTGTGGACTCCCCCTCTCGGTCTGCCCCCTCCTCCCCGCCACCCCTATAGGACACGCCCCCAGAAAGGCTTTTTGTATTTGTGCATAGCTAGAGTGAGGGCAGGGGGGCCTGCTACAGGCCTAGCCCCTACCCTTGTTTTTTATTCTGATTTTTCCCTCCTTTATTTGTTCCTTTTTTTTTCTTTCTTTTTTTTTTTTTTAAGAAACCGTTTTTAAACTATTTCTAGGTTTGTGAATGTGAAGCCCCAGGCCGCAGGGGGCACGGGGCCAGGTGCCCCCCACCAGCTGAGAACAAAGTGTCTATGTGGGTGTGGCCCCTGGCCCGCCTCCCTCCAGCCCTGGAGAGGAGGGCAGGGCTGCGGGTAGGCCAGGCCGAGCCCCTGGAAGATCCCGTCCTGTATCATATGTAAATACTGTGAGGTGAAGCCCCCCACCCCTCTCTAAGCCCCCTTGGGGGTGAGGGCATTGCCTGGACCCCACAGGGCGAAGGTCTCCCCCGCCCCTCCTCTGTCCCCTCAGACACCGTTACTGTAAGCTTGCAGGCCTCGGCCTGGCCGCAGCAGGCCCACTCTCTCAGGCCCTCAGGGTCAAGGCCTTGGGCCTGCTCACCCCGAAAACCCAGTGTGGGGGCGAGGGAAGAGAAGGGCTTGCCCAGAGCCACTGCTGGAAAGGAATTAGCTCTCCAAAGGTCTCCCCTGTCCCCTGCCTAGGTTGGACCTTTACTTCTGCTCTGAGCCCCCACTCCACTGAGTGGAAACCGGGGGCACTTGGGTAAGGAACAGACGCCAGGGGAAAGCAAAGGGCTTCTCAGGGAACCCCCAATTCTCTCACTGAAGTTTCCCACTAGGATGGTCCTGTGGCCAGAGGCCCTTGGCAGCCCCTTACCCCAGAGCCCCCTTCAAAGGAAAAAGAGGYTCAGGGTATGATTATGAAGGGAGACCTAGCTGGCGTGGCAGGGCTGATGCCTACCCACTGTCCCCCTTCTGTGTCYCTCTCCCCCAGGCCTGAGGCTGGGGGCCTCAGCTCCCTGCCCCATCAGAGCCCCCACCCCATCCATCCAGCCTTTGGAGAGTTAATTGCCCGTGTGAGGTGCTTAACCTATTAGCCCTGAGAACACAAAGCAATAATCTTTGTTACTGAGATGCGCGGCTGTTTGTTTGGTTTTTTTTCTTTTTCTCTCTTTTTTTTTTTAATGTTTCCTAATAAAAGAGAAGCTGCATTTTATTGGTTTTTATTTTTTATTTTCTACACATTTGAGCTGAGTCCAGAGAAACTCAGCTTCTCCCTTCTTCTCATCCCTTGACCTTCCCACCCCACTGGGCCCAACCATGGGCTCAGGGCCCTGGAATTCCGTTTTCTGAATTGTTTGGGGAATTTTTTTTTTTTTTTTTAAAGATGTTACATGGTGTTTTGAAGCCAGCAAGTTACCACCCTCCGGTGTCTCTTCTCTCCACATCTGTAACTTCTTTTCCAGGTTTTATTTTCAGTTTTAAATTCCTAATAAATTATTTGAAAACGGTGCTGAGCTTGTGAGCATTTTTGTCTGTGTGTTCAGGTCACGGTGCCCCAGGATACCTCATTTTTCTGTACAGAGGTGGCAGAACTCCATCCTCTTAGGGTCCCTGATGGGTCCAAGGACTGAATTGACTTTACATGTATTAAAAGAAGAAAAGTATACTCATTTATTTAATGTAAGTTTTACATAGTGTGGACATCTTCATAAAAAAAAATGAAAACTCTGCAGAGAAACCCTTCAACAAAATTCAGCACGCGTTCATGATTAAAAACACTGAAGAAACTAGGGATAGAAGGAAAGTACCTCAACATCATAAAGGCTATCTATGGAAAAACCCAAAGCCAACCTCATTGTAAATAGGGAAAACTGACAGCATTTCCTTTAAAGTCTGGAACAAGACAAGGATGTCCATTCTCACTACTCCTACAATAGAGTATTAAAAATTCTAGCTAGAACAATTAGGAATGAGAAGGAAATAAAAGATTAAAATAGGAAAGGAAGGGACTGGGGTGGTGGCTCAGTGATAAAGCACTTGCCTAGCATGTGTGAGACACTGGGTTCAATTCTCAGTACCGCATGTAAGTAAATATAAATAAAGGTCCATTGACAACTAAAAAAGATATTTTAAAAAAATTTAGGAAAAGAAGGCTGGGCATGGTAGTGCGTGCCTGTAATCCCAGTGGCTTGGGAGGCTGAGTTCATGAGTTGGATCATGAGTTCAAACCAGCCTCAGCAACTTACTGAGGGACTAAGCAACTCAGCAAGACCCTGTCTCTAAATAAAATACATACAAAAAGGGCGGGGGGGGGTGCTGGGGATGTGGCTCAGTGGTTAAGTGTCCCTGGGTTCTATCTCTGGTACCAAAAAAGAAAAAAGAAAGGAAGATGTCAAATTATCACTGTTTGCAAATGATATGACCCTCTACTAAGAAGATCCAAAAAGCTCCACCAAAAGACTGCTAGAGCTAATAAATTCAGCAAAGAAGTAGGTTACAAAATCAACATTCAAAAATCCACAGCTTTCCTATGTATCAACAATGAATCTGCTGAGACAGTAATCCGGAAAACAATCCTATTCACAATACCTTAAGACAAAACAAACAAACAAAAAAAAAAAAAACCTAGGAATAAATCTAACCAAGGAGGCAAAAGACCTCTACAATGAAAACTATATAGAACATTGAAAAAGAAACTAAAGATGTTAGAAAATGGAAAGACGGCCCATGTTCATAGATAGGCAGAATTAATATTGTTAAAATGGCCATACTACCAAAAGCAATATATAGATTCAAGGCAATTCTCATAATAATACCAATGACATTCTTCACAGAACTCAGAAAAAAAAAAAAAGTCCTAAAATTCATTTGGGAGAATAAAAGACCCAGAACAGCCAAAGAAATTCTAAGCCAAAAAAACAATGCCGGAGTCATCACATCTAACTTCAAATTATACTACAGAGCTATAGTAACAAAACTGCAAGGTACTGGCATCAAAACAGCCACACAGACCAATGGTACAGAATAAAAGACACAGAGACAAACCCACACAGATATAGTCAACTGATTCTTGACAAAGACACCAAAAACATTGGAGAAAAGACAGTCTTTGTAACAAATGGTGCCGGGGAAACTGGTTATCCATGTGTGTAAGAATGAGACTAGACCCTTTGCTTTCACCCTGCAAAAAAATCAACTAAAGATGAATCAAAGACCTCAGAATTAGCCCAGAAACCATGCACAGGCAATAATATTCTCTCTCTCTTTTTTCTTTTGTGGTTCTGGGGATTGAATCCACAGCCTTRTGCATGCAAGGCAAGCACTTTACCAACTGAGCTATATCTCCAGCTCRCCTTTTTCCCAATAGGACCTGTAAACCTCAGGAAATAATGCCAAGAGAATAAATGGGATGGCATCAAATTAAAAAGCTTATGCACAGCAAAAGAGGAAACAGTTAGGAATATGAAGAGAGAACCTGCAAAATGGGAGAAAATCATTGCAAGCTACCCTTCTGACAGGATTAATATCTAGAATATATAAAGAATCAAAAAACATCCAAAAAATAAACACAATCAATAAATGGACAAATGAATTAAACAGACATTTCTCAAATAAATACAAATGGCCAACAAATACATAAGAAAATGTTCAACATCATTAGCAATTAGGGAAATGAAAATCAAAACTGAGATTTTTTTTTTTTTTTTTTTTTTTGGTACCAGGAATTGAGCCCAGGGGCACTTAACCACTGAGTCACATCTCCAGGCCTCTTTTGTATTTTATTTAGAGATAGGGTGTCTCTGAGTTACTTAAGATCTTGCTAAGTTGCTGAGGCT